ATGTTTTATAATTTAGCTGAAGTCAAAAAAGTTTTAGGAACTAGTGAGTTTCATTTACCTGAATTGTCTAATAATGAATTAGATGATAAAAGAAAGTAATATGTCAATATTTATAAGCTATTATAGAGATCAAACAGATATAAAATTTTTTTATTTACTTACATGATGCAAGTTGTAGTAAAATCAAAATTGTATATTCTAATTTATTATAAGATTATAGTCAACCCTCGTTAATATATTCTTATTAATATTAACTCTTTTTAATATCAATCCTATTAATATCAATATCAGCCTTATATTAATATTATTAAGAACAAATAGGCTTAGGCTTTATAAAAACCATCCTATTGTTATCAGCTCTTACATATATCAATATAATTATCTAATCTAAATAGGTTGATATTAACAAGGATTAACTGTATTAAATAAATTGTTTTTTAAATATACTTGGCGGTATTCAAATTTAAATTAATAAAAAAATTTTATTTATTTTATTAAAATATAGTTATATGAATTACTTCATAATGTTCTTAGCACTACTATAGCTTCTGTTTATACAACACAACAATGACAACATAAATCTTTTATATTAACTGTGTTACCACCTAAAGGTCTTCCAGAATGGGCAATAAGTAAAGAAATTAATGAAGAAGAAACTGAAGAAAATGAAGAGAATAAAAATGAGGATAAGGGCAAAGAAGAAAAAAACAAAGAGAACAAAGAGAATGAAGAGGATGAAGAGGATAAAGGGGATGAGAAAAAGAGGAAAAAATAAATAAAAAGGGTAAAAAAAGCTATTACTTCATCTATTAAAACATCTAGATCGAAGAGACAAAAAAATAAATTGAATTGCTTATGACTTTTTGGTTTGTTTAACATTAAAATAATTGATTACATACCTTATATTGCAGTTACTCTAATTCTTTTAATCCTTATAATTTTAGAATTAATTTTGTAAATTCTGTGACCCTTATATGCAATATAGTTAAATCACAAAATTTATTCTATCTATTTTTTCTTAATAATATTTCTATTATTCACTTTTCTGCCTATATTCTTTTATGTGATAAGGTTTTAGTTATATAACAATACTTTTAATAGGTTATAATAATGCAGAATTTTGAATATTAATAAAATATTATATAGTTAATCTATTGCTATTGTTTTATCAAATTTAAATATCCTGCCATGTTCTGTTTTTAAAATATATTTAATAAATATATTTAATAAAATATATAATTTATTATCATTATTCTATTAAATTAAATATTGACCTTATTTCATCTCCAATATTGGTAAAAAAAATCAAAAATTTATTTTGTGTCGATTTTTAAAATCTAGACCGATTTCATGTTAATTGGACCAAAAAAATTGATCTAAAATCAGCCTCGAATTTAGATTAAATTTTATAAATATTCAACCTAAATTCGGGGGCTGATTTTAGATAAACCCGAATTTAGGTTGAATGTTTATAAAATTCAACCTAAATTCGGGGCTGATTTTAGATAAATTTTACAGCTGTTCTCATAAATTTTGGAACATCTGATAAAAAATTGACCGAATGCTGATTCGATAAGTCTGGATTCTGGTAATGATTGATTACATAATGATATATATAGTATCTTGCACGTTTGAAATCTGTGACAGGTTATGTCAATTATCAACTCGAAAGGGTATAAAGATTAGAATTAAGTACAGGCTTTAATTTACTTGATATTTGATATTTAAATGTATTTATTTAACTAAAATTTCGTTCTAAAAACTTCTGTTTAGAAGTCAAACTGTGGTTATCATAGTAAAGTCTTGAGTTATGTACAATTTTTTTGTTTTTTCAAAGTATTTTCGAATTTTTTTAGTTACACATGATCTTGTGATTTTATTGGCTACAACCAGCAATGGTCGACATAATCTGTCACAGATTTCAGATGTGCATATATCTTTATTGTGATAATGTATATGCGATAGCACTATTTTATCTTTCTAAATAACAATTTCAGAGCATATTTGTTATTTGTTTTAGATAAGTTGGATAGATTTAGTTGCTTCAGACAAGTTGAATATTTTACTGTCAGATTCAACTATACTACTTCAAGTTTTTAAAATATTTACTATAGATAAACAAGCCCAAGGTTCCATAGTCGTTTGATTAACTGGTTTAATATTTTCAGCTGATTCATGCAAATGAAGTCATATAGATTTTACTTTGATTTTCTCAATGCAGCTTCGATAAATATTAATAAAATCTTGAGTTGTTTGTAATTATAACTTGTGTTATATTTTTTTTAATCTAGTTAATAAATTTTTGTTCATGTCGAACATTTTTTTTATTAGCATCTGCTCATGTAATGTATTTGTTATAAAACTTAGATGACCCTAATTCAATTCAGTGGTTTACATTACATTTTCATTATGAAAGAGGGGGGCTTCAGAGGGTTTATATAGTAAAATTTCAAATTTTTTTTT